CCTGGGAGCAGGCCTAAGCCAGCAGGTCGTTATCTCCCGAGGGGTCCCAGACTGTGAGAGGGCACAGGCTGGGCTGAGGGACCCCCCCTTCTCCCCCCCTGTGCACAAATTTTTGTGCACCGGGCCTCTAGTATAAAATAAGTATCAAAAATATAAGTCTTTGTTTTACCATCGTTGCAAATATCAAAAAATTTCTATAGGTGACACGGCACCAGAGTTAAGTTAGGGTTTTTCAAAACCCTGACACGCCGAGCTCAAAAGGTTCGCCATCACTGGTATAGATGATAATAAAAAATGTAAGACATAAAATTGCCAGTTGGAAATCGATTCCCAGACTGTGAGTCATGTGATGCGCAGACATGACCCCGTCCCAGTCCCAGCCCAGGAGGAGGCTGAGGGCCGTCCTGCAGCTGAGCTCAGGGCCCGGGCGGTGGGTAGGGGCAGGAGCGCCCTGGGCCAGGGCCTCACATGCTGGGTCAGGAGGGGGAGGTCAGGCACCTCAGGAGCCCGGTGGGGAGACGCGGGTGGTCCCAAGCCCCCGGCACAGCAGGTGGTGTCCTCCTCAGCCAGGTGAGGGCTGGCCTCCAGGAGGGGGTCCCGCAGCTCCCCTGACCCCGTAGCTGGTCCTTGGGGGCCTGGCCGCTGCCCGCTGCCTTGAGGAAATGGCTCAGGCATCTACATCCCTCAGCCATGTGTCAGCTGGCGGGTCCCTCTGAGGAAACACGGATGCTGTCTCCTCCACGGGATCCGTGGTGACGTCTGGCTGAGCCCGGGAGGCCTGCAGGTCCCGACGCCTGTTCCTTTCTGTCCACTTTCCTGTCCCCTGTGAGGGACACTTGGCGTGAAGACCAGGGGCCGCTCCTGCCTGGTCCGGATGCTCGGGGTCAGCCACCCCCAAGGGCAGGAGCGGGGCCTCCCTCCCCGACTTAGCACAGCGTCCACGGAGGACTCAGCCCCGCAGGGACCTGTCCATCTGCCGCTGCCCCCCTAAACAGCCAGCAGCCTTACCTCCAGGGTGGGGACAGGCAGCAATACCCCAGGAAAGGAGAATTTTCCTGCAAAACAGAGACGCCCGTCCGGAAGGGGCCGCCCGGCCGGGGACCACGTGGCCTGCTGCTCACGGGGAACCGCCCAGAGACCGACCCGCTCAGAGGCAGCAAGACCCAA